CTAGCTTCACAGGAGAGAGGCAGGAGGATCATAAGTTCAAGGGATGTGTAGGATATAGAATGAATTCAAGACAAGCTGGGTAACTGAAAGAAAACAAAGAGGAAATGATAAGGACTGGAAGGATAGCTCAGTGTTGCGGGAGCTACTTTTGCTCCTTCAGCCAATAGCCTTTGAGGTACCAGCCCACTGGGATGTGGAATCTTTCGCTTTAAAAATAAGGGCGGACGGCAGCTCTCTCTCTTGCTTGCTTCCAATTCTGCTTCTGACTATCAGACGCCTTTCCTGGTCCTGCAGGAGGCTGTTGTCTAGAATGGTGATCTGTAAGTTTTTCCTTTTAAATAAATAACTCTTTTATTAATCTTAATTCCAAGTTGGTGTGGGATTGTTTTGTTTTGTGACTTACTCCATTAGCTCAGTGTAAGAGTACTGGCTTACAAATCCTGGGTGAGGCCCAGCAGACACCTAGGCTACATGGCATAGCCTTCTTTGTTCCCAAGCCACAAATCTACAGAGCTCATTTCTGTAACTGAATACTGGAGACAATGGCAGAACAAGTCAAGTAGCTTCAAAAGTGGTTAAACATTTGAGTATCTAAATGTACCCAAATAAACAAAAGGCTGTGCAGTATGAAAGCCGCAATGGCACTCCCGTTGGGGCGTTTCCCTTAATGGAGCTTGCAGGGTTAGAAAATGCTCTGGGAGTCAGGGACTGGGTGAGAAGGGAATTGGAAAATATCACCATACCCTGCTGAAGACTTGATGAACCTTATACACATGGGCTTCACTACATTAATTTTTAAAATTATTTTAAATAATAAACTAATTTAGGGTTCTCTGATATTTTCACTTTAAAAAGATTCTAACTTTTCTAGATTTTAAAAATATTTCTTTCAAAAAATACTTAGCTAAAAAACAAATGGACTGTACAAGTACACAAATATGTTTTTCTAGATGAGCACAGTCATGCGTGACTGCGATTACAGCACTCAGAGGCTGGGGCAGGACTGTTGTGAGGTCAAGGTAAACCTCTGTCACTTAGGAAAACATCTACAACATGCTTCCAACAAAAAAAATAAGTTCTGTCTTTATGTATTCATTGTTTAAATTTGTTACTACTTTCAAATTTAAATTTTTATTTTAAAACCTTTTAAAATAAAAAACAAAGACACAAATACATGCATTAGCCAGGCCTGTGGAGGGCCAGGACCACCGTATCACTGTCTTCTACCTTTTTCTCACTGGAAGGTCTCCAGATGTGAGAGCTTGCATGGAGCTGATGTCACTGCTGCAATAACAATGCCTGAAACCTTCTGAACTCATCCTGGAGGACCTACCTGGGATGTTTTAAATATTCTAAGTAAGGGCTACAGATGGAGTTCATATTAGATGCACGAAGCTAATGGTCCCATCCCAGGCACCAATATAAACAAAGTGTGCTGCCACGGGCCTGTAATCCCAGAACTCACTCCAGAGATTAAGTAAGGAGGATCAGAAGTTCAAGGCCAGTCTGGCTATAGGAGACCCTGTCTCAAATGTATGTGTGTGTGTGTGTCTGTGTGTGTCTGTGTGTGTCTGTGTGTGTCTGTGTGTGTGTGCCTGTGTATATCTGTGTTGGGCCCAAATTATCTCAGGGCCTATACCTTGAGGCCTGTAGGACAGAGAAAACCCTTGTTCGAGTTTGAAGGACAGTCTCAAAACTACCATGTAAGGATGAAACAGCAAATTCTAGGTAGATGCCCCTCCAGCCCAGAGGGAGGGCTTGGCTGTCTCTCATTAGCTGGAGGTACCCTCACATCACACAATGTTACTTAACCTGTGTAAACTGACACTCACAGTAATAAACTGAATTCCTGCTTTGACTTGACTCCGTATCATGTCTGATTGTCCTGCAGTGGGGCTGCTGAACGGGCAGATAGTGCACTCACTTTTTCCTGGGGAATAGGCTAAGGAAGGCTGGCAAGTCTCTCTCTCTCTCTCTCTTTCTCTCTCTCTGTGTGTGTGTGTGTGTGTAATCATTATAAAAGATATACCACAAGGGCTGGAGAGATAACTCCGTGGTTAAGAACACTGGTTGCTCTTCCGGAGGACCAGAGTTGTTTACCTTGCAACCACAAGAAGGCTCACAACCTTCTGTAACTCCAGTTTCAGGGGATCTGATTTTCTCTTCTGGCCTCCAAGGACACCAGACGTACACATGGTACACAGTTATACATGCAGCAAAATAGCCATACACACAAAAATAAATTTAATAAATAAATAAATAAATATTTTTAAAGTGCAACATGGTACATACATAAACCCACTAACATAGCTATTTATTGTCATTATTAAACATCACACACATTAACTGTGCTCAACTTTAATGTGACTGGCATGGAAACTTTATATGCACAGTATCTCCACAGAGAAGTGTGGTATTAAGACAGATCAAAATCACCGGGAGATGGGAATATTTGAACTTTATTATAAACTCATGGACCCACTATCATGTTGAATCCACCATTAACCAAAGTATCTTCATTCGGGAGACTGTGTAATGATTCAGCCTGGAGGACAAATCTGAACAGACCTTCATCACCCTCTGCTTACACTGTGTTCTTCATCCTCTGGAACAAGAATAAAAGGAGGAGGAAGAGAAAGGAGAGCAGGGAGGGACTGATGGAGAAGGAAGGCAGGTAAGAGCAGAAAGAGAAGGAAAAGGAGACATGGAAGTAGGGAGAAAGGAGAGGAGCGAAGAAAACGGGGCAGGGGGGATCACAGTTGTGGTTCTGAGGCGGTGGTGCAGTGCTGGCTGCTTCTCAGCTTTGCTAAAGCCTCCTTCTTCACTGAGGCCCTGTCCCCGACTGTCTGAAAGCCATCCCAAAATATCACACACACAGAGTACACACAGAAGCCATGTCTGCAGAAGCGCATGCTTCGGCACAGAGACGGGAAAGGACAATGTCCGGGTCACGGAGACAGGTGGGACAGGGAGATGTGTGAATTAGTCAGCTCTCTTACACTGTGACTAACCCCTGCAAGGACCACTGAAGGCTCCTGGTCTCAGAGGGTCCCTGCCTGTGGCTAACGGCCCTACAAATGGGGCAGAATGTCAGGATGGCACATGGCAGAGGTCCTGATTCATCTAAAGGTGGACATGAAGCAGAAGACCAGGAAGGAACCGGTACAAGACAGCCTCGTGAAAGACCCCCACCCCTGTGATGCACTTCCTCCAACTGGGCCTCACCTTACCGTTTATAAAACCTCCTAAAATAACACCATGAAGTGGGGACCAAACACTCAACATATGAGTCCCAAGGGGAGATTTCATATTCAAACCCAACACTGTGTTAACTCCTACCTCGGTTCCATACGAACACTCTTCTATCAAACTCCTTCCAGCATAACTGGAGAATTGTCTGGCTGTCTTCTCCCATGATCCAGAGAGTGTTTGTCTTGTACACAAGGTTGTAGGGTGAATTCCGGAGACCCGAATTGCTTAATCTATATGGGTCATAGTGATGGCCCATGAAGTTCTGCCTACCCAGCTACCACGAACAAATACTAGAGACCCCTAAGATTTGCTGCTGCATGCCATCTGTGGCATCTGAAGTGCTATGTGGACAGGTTACATTGCCCTTCCTTCGTGTCAACCTCAGAGGACTTACACACGTGTGACAGAGTGCAATGTTTCTCTAGCAGTCACTTCTGCAGCTCACGCCTTACCATGGAAGGATTAACCCATGAGTGAGACAACACAGCAGCCCAGCTCACTGACACTGTAGGGTGACTCCACTGTGAAGCATCCTGAGGTTCTGAGGCCACTATAGCCAGACCTTTCTAGAAGGTGTATGCCATGTTAACTTAGCTTCTTGGACTTGGGTTCCTCCCCATATGGAGAGTTTCCCTGCCATCACCCCACTTGGCTTCTCTGTGTTCTCCAGCTCCTCCTGTCTGCCTCTCCTCTCTATGAGATGCAGACATGCTACACCTTTGCACTGGAGAGTGAAGGCCTTTCAGGCTGTCTCCACTCTGAGACCATCCAACATCTTTCTGGCATTTTCTTCTGCCTTCTTTGTTTGAACATCATTGTGTGTTCCATGAGCTGCCTCCTTTTCTGAGGAGAAAAGTACATTTCGGTTGTTTCGTGGGGCGGATCATCTGCTGCTTGGAACAGCTGCTGCTTTTACAGAAAAAGCCTGGGGTCTCGTTCTCACTGGGTTGACATTTTCAGCTTTTGAAGATCGTCATGACCCCTGCCAATGTCTGATCCTTACCATGCATTCTTCTCTGGTTCCTTACCAGCCACTAATAAAGGCTAAGTTTATCCTCAAGATAATGCCTGTTAACTCCTTCCTTTGTTTTGAAATGCACATTAGCTGTCCCTGTAACAAGCGTGACTTTTATTACAAACCCCACCCACACGGATGTGCTCCCTCCCTTCCCTCTTTAAAGCTCTGGCGGCCTGTATGTTCTCTCTTTCTCTCTCTCTCTCTCTCTCTCTCTCTCTCTCTCTCTCTCTCTCCCCTCCCCCTTCATCAGGAACTATGACTTAGACATTCAGGTAAATAATTTGCTAATTTGACCTTAGATGTCTTCGTAATGTGAGAAGCATGTCATCTGCACTAAACGATACAAGTCTATCTGGTTCTGCAAAGCAAGGAAGTCTAGTTTAAAGCCAAACTCCCCCAAACACATCTACTAATCACATATTTATTGTCTAAGTGACACAGATTCACTGAGAGCCAGCCAACATGGGTTCTAATGAATCAGGGTTTGTCCAGCTCCCAGGGAAGAACACAGTAATCCAGGTGTCAATCCAGGTCAAGACTGAACACCCCTGTCAAACATCAAGGTACTCCACAGCATCCTCTCTCCACCTCTGTCTCTGCTTTTATCTCCCACCCTGACCTGAGCATGCATAAATAGCATATACTAACTTGGGTTGTTTGTAAATTTTATTCTGTTTGCTTAAACAAATGAGAACTACTTAGCCGTGGCTCCCATGTCCTTGAGGCTCTATCACCCAATAACCATTTCAAAATGTACAAAATTTCATGCTATTTACAACACCCAGTGCATTTTCCCACACACCCTCTCCTGCCACAAAGAGGTATCTGGCTTATCATGTCTGAATTGGATACTGCCTTACTCATTGACACGTGTGAACAATGAACGACTTATTCTACTCCAAGCATTAGGAAACACACACTGGGAGACATTTCAAGTTTCTTTTTGCTTCACACAGAGAACTCTTGAGTCTAATAATGGGGTTAGTTTTGGTTTGTTTATTTGACTGTTTTGTTTTCTATCCTTAAACTAGTTTTATTTTTAAGAGTATAAGAGGTTCGGGAAAGATACAAATACACATGAGAAATCACAAAAACAGATGTAACTCAAGTCTAAGAAAGCTGCTTATTTTCTCTTGATTACGTAATGAAAACATTAGTAAGGCCTTATTTAATGAGGGTGAGGTCATTTTAGCACATACTCCTACATGTAAATATATATGTGAGTATATATATATACATATACATATATATAATTTCTTAAATAAGTAAAAGACTATATATTGAAGCTTAACTTTGGGGGGGGGATATCACAGGACAGAAATCAAATCTCATGACCTGTTGGAAATATGTTAGAGAAAACCAGGGAGTAAAGCAAGGCTTGCCATTTGTCCCTCTGGTTCCACAGGCTCATTGTTCATCACTGCCTGCAGGAAGTGAGTCAGCCCTTGCAGAACTTGTCACAACTCAGCTTTAATCAGCCCCACTTGGCAGGAAGCAGCATTGTCCTCCCACAAAAAGTGGGCCACCTAAGCTATCAAAGCACAGAGGGAGAGTGGTAGGTGGCACAGGTGAGTAAGGGCAAGCCACCAATGAGAAGGGAGGAAGGGAGACAACTAGCTGAAAGGAAAAATAAAGCCCATTGAATGCCCCACAGTGGTCTGGTCCCTGGTGAACAGGTGGTCCCTGGAATCCAAGCCTTACGGAGTCATCTGGATGGGGTGCGGGCATCAGCTACTCCTCACTGCCAGAATAATCGCTGTTCTCCCCCAAGGGAAACTCCTTTGTGGGCTTCTGGGTTGCATATATCTGGGTTTCCATGGGACATTCCTGGCTCAGAATAGCCTACAGCAAGAGAGAAGTATAGATATTACTGCATATCTTTGACCATCTGTCTCTTGGAAAAGAAACTAGCATATCCAAGCCTAGTGTCAGAAGAAGTCAAGATGTAAGTATAGCATTCTCTTTCTGCCTTGTGGGAAACATCTGATACACTTGTGCTTGAATATTAGCATTAGTAGGTAAAAGGCATAGCAAAAAGCTGGATGGAATGGGTACTCCTCTCTCTAAGCCTCCCTGCCTACTTCTGTTCCTTTGAGCAGCTTCTCCATCCTTCCTGAATTCATGAGGCCCATAGGGCTGCTGGGGTATTCATGCTACAAGAAGTACTAAATACCACTAAATACCATATTAACTAAGTAATACAGTGTGCAGGATCTTTTTGCCTGGAGACTATATATTTTTTTTAACTTTAAAAGACATAACCTCAACATTTACGGAAACAGGACTGAGTGAGCTACCTAGGCCGAAACAAGCTTGAGACAGCAAACTCCATGACTGAGCCAGCAACCAAGGCCAGGGCAGGCCTGAGACAGTGAACTCCACAGGAGCAGGCATAGATCCAGACCAGAGACATTTACAGAAACAGGTCTGAGCCAGTGACCTAAACTGGAGCAGGCTTCAACAGCAAACTCCACAGGAGCAGAGCAAATCTCGGGAGCACTGAGCAACCTCCAGGAACACAGAGTGGCCAATGGGGTGACTGGAACCATTGCACTGACTGCACCACAAGGAGCAACCATCTGAGTCTTAATAAAAAAGCTTAATACAAAATATCCAGAAAATATGGGACACCATAAAAAGACCAAACCTAAGAATAATAGGTATAGAAGAATGAAAAGAAGTAAACTTCAACTCTAAAGTACAGAAAATATATTTAACAAAATCATAGAAGAAAACTTTTCCAACCTAAAGAAAGGCATGCCTATGAAGATACAAGGAGCTTACAGAACACCAAATAGAGTGAATAAAAAAAAAGTTCCCCTTGCCACATAATAATCAAAACACTAAGCATACAGCATAAAGAAAAAATATTAAAAATGGTAGAGGAAAAAGGCCAAGTAACATATAAAGGCAGACCTATTAGAATTACACCTGACTTCTCATTTCATTGGAGACAATGAAAGCCAGAAGGTTCTGGCCAAGCATTATGCAGACATTAAGAGACCACGGATGCCAGCCCAGACTACTATACCCAGCAAAACTTTCAATCACCAAATCAAAATATTTCATGACAAAACTAGATTTCACCAATATCTAGCCACAAACCCAGCCTGACACAAAGTACTAGAAGGAAAACTCCAACCCACAGGAATTGGCTACATTAACAAAAGCACAGACAATTGATGATCTCACAGCAGCAAAACCCAAAAAAGGGGAAAACACACAAATTAATATCACCAACAATGAAAACTAAATTGAAAGGAGATAGCAATCACTGGTCATTAATATCCCTTGATATAAACAGACTCAACTGACCTATAAAAAGACACAGGCTAATAGATTGGATACAAAAACAGAATCCAAACTTCTGCTACATACAAGAAACACACCTCACCCTCAAAGACAGACATTGCCTCAGAGTAAAGGGTTGGGGAAAAATTTTCCAATCAAATGAACCTAAGAAACAAGCTGGTGCAGCTATCCTAATATCTAACAAAAATAGATATCAAACTACAATCAATCAAAAAAGACAAAGAGACATTTCATATCAGTCACAGGAAAAATTGACTAAGATAAAGTCTTAATACTGAACATCTATGCCCCAAATACAAGGGCACTCTCATATGTAAAAGAAACACTTCTAAAGCTTAAGTAATACAGTAAACCCTACACACTAATAGTGGGAGACTTCAACACTCCCCTCTCAGCATTGGACAGGACAGTCAAACAAAAAAATAAACAGAAAAATAAGGGAACTAACAGATGTTATGTCTCAAATGGACTTAACAAACATCTATAGAAAATTCCATTCAAACAAAAAAGAATATACCTTCTTCTCAGCACCTCATGGAACCGTCTCAAAAATTAACCACATACTTGCTAACAAAACAAACCTTAACAGATACAAAAAAAACGGAATAACCCCATGTATCTTATTGGATCACCATGTCTTAAAATTAGAATTCAACAGCAACACTAATTCCAGAAAGCCCATAATCACATGGAAATTAAACAACACTCACCTGAAGCATCAATGGGACAAGGAAAAAATAAAGGGAGAAATTAAAGACTTCCTAAAATTCAATGTAAATGACCACACAACATACCCAAATTTATGGGACACAATGAAAGCAATGTTAAAAGGAAAGTTCATAGCACTAAATGCCTACAAAAAATCCCACACTAGTGAATTAACAGAACATTTGAAAACATTAGAACAAAAAGAAGCAAACGCACCCAAGAGACTAGATGGCCAGAAAAAATAAAATTAAGAGCTGAAATCAACAAAATATAAAAGAAAATACAAGGAAACAATAAGGAATCAATAAAATAGACAAACCTTTATCCAAACTAACCAAAAGACAAAAAGAGAATATCCAAATTAACAAAATCAGAAATAAAAAGGGAAATATAACAACAGATATGGAGGAAATCCAGAAAATCATCAGGTCATATTTCAAAAACCTGTACTCCACAAAATTGGAAAACTTAAAGGAAGTGGACAACTTTCTGGATAAATATCACCTACCAAAATTAAATCAAGACCAGATAAGCAAATTTAACAGACCAGTAACTGCTAAAGAAATAGAAACAGACATCAAAAGTCTCCCAACAGAAAAAAAGCCCAGGATAAAATGGTTTCAGCTCAGAATTCTACAAGATTTTCAAAGAAGAACTAATACCACTCACTCAATTAAGAACACTCCTCAAATTATTCCACACAATAGAAACAGAAGGAACATTGCCAAACTCTTTTTTGGAGGCTGCAATTACCCTGATACCCAAATCACGTAAAGACATTACAAAGAATGAATGAAACAGAATTACAAACCAATCTCACTCATGAACATTGATGCAAAAATACTAAATAAAATACCGGCAAATCGAATCCAAGAACACTTCAGAACTATCATCCACCATATTCAAGTCAGCTTCATCCCAGAGATGTGGGTATGAATAAATATATGAAAATCTATCAATGTAATCTACCATATAAACAAACTGAAAAAATAAAAAACACATAATATCTCATTAAGGGCTACAAGGAACATACCTAAACATAATAAAGGCAATATACCTCAAGTCAATATCAAACTAAATGGAGAGAAACTCCCAGCGATTCCACTGAAATCAGGAACAAGACAAGGTTGTCCACTCTCTCCATATCTATTCAATATAGTTCTTGAGGTCCTAGCTAGAGCAATAAGACAATAAAAGAAGATCAAGGGGACACAAATCACAAAAGAAGTCAAACTCTCACTATTTGCTGATGATATGATAGTTTACATAGGCGATCCCCAATATTCTACCATGAAACTTATGCAATTCATAAACACTTTCAGCAATGTAGCAGGATACAAGATTAACTCAAAAAAAATCAGTAGCCCTCCTGTACACAGATGATAAAGGGCTTAACTCTACAAGCATTAGGACTGAGCTTGCGTGCCCAGCGCCCATATAAATGAGTGTGCATGGTCATTAGCCTGTAATCCTAGTACTGGGCACAGAGATGGGCAGGTCTTGGGAGCTCTCTGGACAGCCAGCCCAGACCAAAGGGCAAGGTTCTAGGACACTGAGAGAGCCTGTCTCAAGGCAGTAAGGCAAGGAATAAAAGAAGACATCTTCCTCTTATACACCAACTTCCATGCACCATACACAGACCAAAACAAATCAAATGAAGTTAATGTTTTAAAAACACATCATCAGATAAGGATAAAGGCAGACTGGAACACATGAGCGTGTGAGTGGGTGAATGAATGCATGCAATGGAATGTTGCTATTTCTAGAAGAGACGGCTTAGTAAACTGAGTCCTGCCATAGGAAGCATGGGATGCTTTTTACAGCCGATATTTCTAACTCTTAGCAAGGGTCTCACTTTCCTTTCCTTTCCTTTTCTTTTTAGTTTAGCTTACTTTTTTTTTATGAGTAGGTCTTATGAAGGCGAGGATAGCCTTTAATCCATATGTAACTGGGGATGACTTCAGCTTCTATCCCTACTACCTCTATTTCTCAAATGTGTGTGACCATGCCTTCTCCTCATTTTCCTTCTTAAGATCCAGATAATCGGGGACCCAGTTGCCTAGGGAAAGAAGGGAAAGTGAAGGATGAAAGGAAGGATAGTGTGTTAGGAAAAACAGAAATGCTACAAAAGAGAGAGGAAATGAGGTCAAAGGGAAGGGTCAGGGGAACCACAGGAAGAAACAGACATGTATATCATTCAGCACTCAGGGTGCCTTACTAGCTTCTCCTCCTTAGCTGGGGGGTTCTGCAGAAAGCAGCAGAGAGGGGCATAGACGATATTGATGACACCAATGATGACCATGAGCCAAGGGAAGCCGATGACCTGTACAATGGCACCCCCGGTAGATGGGCCTGTGGAAAAATAAAATTCCGAGTGTTTGTTGAATCAGTCACCTGAAAAACATTATGCTAGGGATCGTGGATAGCCACACCGGCTGTAGAATCCACTAATTTCAGAGCCCTAGGAGAATAAGACCCCCGGTTCAATACCCAGGTAAGCTACAATGGAGAGGGTTACTTGGGCCTGGGAGCTCTCATCTGCCCCCAACCAACATACCTATAGCAAAGCCCATGCAGAAAGCCACGTCAGCGATGGCGTAGACACTCCCATACACAGAGGTGTGGCGTAGGTCCACCAGGTATCCCATGATGGGCATCAAAGAGGAATCCACCATGCCTGTGGCCAGAACAAGCAGGATTGTGTAGTCAGCTTACCCAAAGCTACAGCATCTCCCTCCACTCTGCCTCCCTGGCCTGCTGTCCCCACGCTCAGCACCAACACAGGCCCAGGTAGGAACCACACACCCATCTCTGTTCGTCTGCCTGCATCCCTCCATTCCTGCCTTTCCACTAGCCTCTTCTGATGGGAAAATGCAGAGGAAAGGAAGTTTTCAAGACCTTTTTTGTTTTGTTTTGTTTTTTACCTTGAGGGACTACTTACCTATGGCAAAGCCAAGGCCTGCATTAGGGCCAATGAGACCATAAATGTTGTGAGCCAGAGGCACCTGGAAAGGAACAGAAGAGTTCAGAATGCCGCTGGGATTGTGGAACAGGGGCCAGGGTTTTCATATGACAGGTATTTGAGACAGGTGCCACATTCATTAGCTCTGATTTCTTACACCTTCTTTAAAGAATAATCTTTCTCTCCGCCTTGACTACATGAAAACTGAACTGGCACCATCCAAAGTTATGAAGCCAACAAGCGGCAAGATCAAGTTTGAACCTCAGAGTCCACTCCGTTATATCATAGTCAGGGATCTCTGCTTGCTCATCATCTGCCAGTCTCTACCAAACACACACTGCTGTCCTCACCCTTCGCTGGAATGGTCATCTTTCTCATCATTTGACACCATCAAATTTGCTTGTTATTTATTTTACAGAGCCCAGGGCCTTGTTCAGGGTAGGCAAATGCCCCACCTGCCCCTTCTTTTATTTCTTTTGAGATGGGATCTCATTAACTTTCTCAACATAGTCTTGAACTTACTCTGAAGCCCAGGCAAGCCCTGAACTTCTGATCCTCCTATCTTGGCCTCTGGGGTAGTTGGCATTAAAGGCCTGCACCACCAAATTAAGCCCCAACATTTTATTGGAAACTCCAACTTGATAGGCATTGTAGCAAAAAGACAAAAAATAAATCCAACAGTTAACAGCAACGGGAGAGACTGGCGGCATCATTTGGGTGCCACAAAGGCAAGCTAAGGCATGCATTCACCCTACCAAAAACCTGTCCTTCCCTTTAAAGCTGTGTCCCTACCCTTTCCTTGGCACCAGTTACCCAACCTCACGATTCCATCGCACAGTTCTCAAAGGTTTTTAACACCATTTAGCATTGATAGCTCCTTATACTTATAGGGCAGCACCTCAAGAGGTGCTCATCGCTATCGATGGCAGGGCTGACTGACTGAGGGCTTGTCATGTGCCCGCTCCACACTGCAGCCTATGTGATCACCTCAAACATCCTGTGAGATGCAAGCAGAATCCTGAGCAGGGAGGAGACATGAGTGGCTCAGGGCCACACAAATGGCAAGTGACAAAGCTAGGATGGAGGCCTGAGCCCGTGCCTATCACCAGGGGTTCCAGCTCATCCTGGGTACAGTGCTCACAGATCTACAGCTCGGTTCTCATACTCTTGAGCCTGGAGATAAACGAACTGATGGACTCCACTGAGAATATGAGACGGCAAAGACCTGGGCTCTTGAAGATGTAAATCCCTGCTATCCGTTTTCTACCAAATTTTCTAGTTCTAGAGACTGAGCCATTGATGGGACCTGCCCTGGTGGCTGGTGGGAATTGTCATAGGAAATTGAATAAATGGATTCACAAAACACCATTGGCTGGCTCCAGAAATAGATACCAACATGTTTTATTTCACATGTCTATGTGCACAGCCTCACACTTCTGGATCCTCCCACCCATAACCCTATTCCTCTCCTTTTCCACCTCCTTTTGATGACTTGCCATTTCAGTTGATGGCATCTTCTCCAGCACCAATTTCTTCTGTACACGTAGAAACAGTTTTCTAGAAGTTCCTACCAAGTCAGCCTACTGCCCACTTGAAGGAAAATTATCTTAAAATGTCTAGTGCACTTCCTTTGTCAACTGGGTCTTGTACTTACACAGAGCAAGCTGATACCTACTGCCACCATTCCCACAAGGGAGCACAGCCACCTGGAAGAGAAAAGCCATCATCACACACTGTCTGCAGGGAGATGGCTACTGCTTGCTACCTTGGCCAGTCCCCAGACCCTAATTCCAGCAATCCCTTAGATTAGGGGAGGGAGCTGCATAGAGACCACAGCAGCAGGTCGAAGCCTTTCTGTCCCTGTCCTTCTCTTGACCTCATCTCCTCCCTGCCCTCCCAGCTCTTCTCATAGTGGAGTCAGGAGTAGCTCCGTGGGACGCATGCTCGTTTCCCTTAGACCTAATCTGCTGGTCCCAAAGACACTCGGCTCTTGGGAGCTGCTCATGCACTTGATTACTGGTGTTTGCTAGTTCAGGTTGCATCCTTTTTATAGTTTTTATTTATTACCATTTGTGTGTGTGTGTGTGTGTGTGTGTGTTGGGGGGGGCTGGTGCGAGAGGAGCACACCACAGCACGCATGCGGAGGTTGGAGGACAACTTTGTGGAGCCAGTTCTCTTCTTCTGCCTTTATGGGGGTTCTGGGGTTTGAACTCAGGTCTCTTAGACTTTCGAGGACAGTGCCTTTACCCACTGATCCATCTCTACAGCCCAGTTCAGAATCTACCTATTCGTATTATATGTGGTCTTATAAATCCATCTCAAAAACCCACACGAAATACGCATACCTCTTCATACCTATAACAGTGCTTTCAAATGTATTTATCAAATCTTTGAGCTGACTGATTCAGAGGGGAGAGATTTGGTCCTGCCTTAGCTTGGTATCCCAGACTTTGCTGACTCCCCAAGAGATGCCTTATCCCCTCTGAAGAGTGGATGGTGAGGTGGAACAGGGGAAGGTGAGGAGGGGGGAAGAGAGGAGAGAGGGGGAACTGGAGTTGGAATAGAGTTTGACAACTGTTGCCCCAAAATACATACCGCCTTTTTGCTTCCTTTTGCAGCTGTTGGCTATTGGGGCAGCATTACCTCTTTGGCTAGCAAGGAAGGGCTATTTCTATGTAACCACTGCCTCTTCCAAAACAGTCAGCTCAGGATAATCCATTGTCTATACTTCCTCCATACCTGCCCATCAACCTCCCTCACAGCCATTTTTATCCTTGTGTCCTAGACTGTCTCAAAGAAGTTGTCCCAAGCACAGGGAGAAGCTCAAAGGCCGCATTAGGCGATAGTTCAATCATTCTTCCAGTTTCCCAGGCTACATACCGACCCATCTTGTTGGCCAACACACCGAAAAGGTTCGTGCCAATGAGGTAGGCCACGCTGGCAGGCAAGAAGGCCAGACCTGTGGAGAACACAGAAGCTCGCCTTAGGATGTGCTCAACTGAATCTAAAGCACCTAATTTCCTACAGCTCAGCAAAGTACCCCTGATACCTCCAGGTCCCCAAACCACTTTGGTGCATGCTTTGGAGAGAAATCTTTGTAGTTCAAGAACAGGGGTCTCAGGACCCGTGGCCCTGCTTCCCTCAGGAACAAGACTGTTTTTAGCCTCAATACATTTAATACGCGCCCAGCTCCCAGACTCTCTAGCAAGTGACTCAGTGAACCACTGGTTATCATCACAAGGGTAGGAGCTTCCTGGGAAGTCAAGTCCCTCACCCGCGTGTGACCTGTCCTCTTGTTGCTTTGCCCGTGGTCTTTGTCTTTCTGAGTCTTGGCTCCCACATCTGAGTAGAACAAAGCCGTTACTCTCTCCTGCCAGGTAACAGTGGGAGCTAGCTGGAAAGTGTGTCATTACCTGCTATCCTGGTCACATACCTTTATGACAGAGTGAGATGATCTGGAACATGGATTTGGAGCATACAGTTTGGGGTTCAGTATGTGGCTTGGCCACTTGTGGACTATGTGACTTGAACATTTTACTTATTATTTCTGAGTTCTTCCTATACCCCAATATTTTTCCTTCTTTCTTGTGTTCTTTCTAATGAACTTTCACCATCTGACAGATATTCTTAAGGCCAGTAATTGAGCAGTAAGTATTGAAGAACTGGAGAGATGGCTCAGTGGTTAAGAGCACTGGCTGTTCTTCCAGAGGACTCAGGTTTGATTCCCAGCACCCACATGGTGGCTCACAACTGTCTGTAACTCCAGTTTCTTGGGTACCAGGAGCATATGTGGTCCATAAAACATATAGGCAAAACACCCATATACATTGAATATACAATAAAATATTTTTAAAGATAAACACAGAAACAAGTACAGTGCAAGTCTATAATCCCAGTATGGGGTGGTCCTTAGGAAACACAGCAAAATGTACTGCATTCTCAATGAAAACATTGAACAAGAGGAGCAGAGCACTATTTTAACAAAAAATTATAAAAAAGAAATAGAAAAATACAAATATTGTCACTTTCTCCAAAATCAAAATATATGCTCAAATGGTTTAATGTGCCAATCAACTACGACAGTGTCCATTAACCGGTAGGGTAAGAAGGCAAAGCCGAGTTCTAGGCACTGAGACTAAGGCACAGGACCCTGTGGAGGCGTTTGTTTGATTAAGCAGTTAGCAGAGAAGCATCTTTCTACCTTTTTGCCTTGCAGAACTACTTGGGATTACGTGGCCATTTTCTTGAGACCGTCAATGACTTATCTACTAGGCTGAGTGGAAAAGTTGGTAAATTCAATGTCTACATAGCAAGACTCTGTCTTGACCCAAACAAGTACAAGCAAATGAACACAAAAGATGATCATAACTCAAAGGGAGCTCATGTTCAAGGAGAGACTGATAGTTAATGCTAAAAGAAATCATTTGATTGTGCTAAATAATAATGCTAAAATAAATGTTTAAAAAATTAAGTGAAGAAAATAATTTTGAAAAAATGTGAAAGAAATGTCATGTAGCCATCTGTCAGAAAGACTGGAGGAAAGGCAACCATGCATTTGGGAAGCCAAGGAAGGCTGGGGCAGGGGGTGCTTAAGCTGAGAACCGAGCAGCATCTATCACCAGCTCAGAGGCTTAGAGGAGAGACCACCGAGTGCGCTGCAGGAGCAGGCGGCTGCCTGGGTGCCTAGGACCGTGAGCAGAGAGCCCAGGAGGAACTTCAGAGACAATTACACAGCCCAGCTTAGGTTCTCGGAAGTCTCTTAGACGAATGGGTCCACAGGACAAGAGTAAACCCAGGGACTGACACAGGCCTGTGGAAAACATCAGAGTCTTGGAAGTATTTTTAGAGCGGAGGTGTAGAACTTTCTCTCGCGCATGTGGGGACACAATGAGAGTGAGGGGAGAGGAATAAAGAACTAAAGTTTTTTGTTTCAATCAACTGGGCGATGGAGAGGGGGAAGATCGGTGGGGAGGAAAAGTCAGGGGGCATGAAGGGCTTGAAATAACCATGGGGAGGGGCCAGACAGGTAGATATACAAGGGCAGGGCTCCAAGAAGAGATCATGAACGTACAAACTCCCAACTCGCTGGTCTCTACTTCGTTTTTAACATCGTGGAAGTGGGGACTGAAGAGATGGCTCATCAACTGGGAACACTTACTGGTCTTGTAAAAGATCTGACTTCTGTCCCTAACAACCAGGCTGAGTGACTCCCAACTGCTGTGCTCCAGAGAGATCTGACCCTTCTGGCCTCTGTGAGTACCTGCCCTCACGTGCACATGCCCACTGCCACACACATTTATAGTTACAGAGATTTTTCAAGAGCACATACTCTTTTTGTTTTAATATTGGAAATGGGTAGGATTGCCTGCAAAATAGATAACCTAATCTGCACACCACAATCTAAGATTCCTTTATTTTCTTTAAAACCCTGCCTTACGGAAACTCACTCTGTGGACAAAGCTGGATCTGAACTGGCAGAGATCTGCCTGTCTCCTGAATGGCAAGATCAATGGTGTATGCCACCACACCCAGTTTAAAATTCTTTAGATATGTGTATTGGTGTGTGCCTGCTCGTCCGTATGTGGTATGTGTATCAGTGTGTGCCTGCTCGTCCATATGTGGTATGTGTATCAGTGTGTGCCTGCTCGTCCGTATGTGGTATGTGTATCAGTGTGTGCCTGCTCGTCCGTATGTGGTATGTGTATCAGTGTGTGCCTGCTCATCCATATGTGGTATGTGTATCAGTGTGTGCCTGCTCATCTGTATGTGGTATGTGTATCAGTGTGTGCCTGCTCATCCGTATGTGGTATGTGTATCAGTGTGTGCCTGCTCGTCCGTATGTGGTATGTGTATCAGTGTGTGCCTGCTCGTTCATATGTGGTGTGTGTATCAGTGTGTGCCTGCTCGTTCATATGTGGTATGTGCATCAGTGTGTGTCTGCTCGTCTATATGTGTACCATGTCTATATGTGCACCATGTCTATATGTGCACCTTGTCCATGAAGTGCCATCAGAGGACATTAGGCCCCCTGGAACTGAAGTTATAGATGATTGGGAGACACCATGCATGGAGTGGTGATGATGATGAAACCCTGGTCCTCTGGGAGAAAAATCTTCTAAGAAAAATTAGTAGCTGAGGATGGTGAGGGTGAAGACAAGGCATGTACAGAAGTGCATCTGGAGAAATATAAAAACAGAAGCGTTGTTTTGGAAGGAGAAAGAAAGTATATAACCAGCAGCATGCAGGAAGACCATTAGCAGAGAACATACTTTAGATTTATTTGTGCCTGTGACTATCAGGTGAGAGCTGGGCGTGGTTGCAGATGCTTTCAATCCCAGATACTCAGGAAGCTGAGGCAGGGAGACTGCAAGTTCAAAGCCAACCTGGGAAAGTTAATGTGGCCAATCTCAAAATAAAACTTAAAAGGCTGGAAATTAACTCAGTGGCAGATGTTTATCTAGCATATTGAGATCCTAGGTCTCTACTACTGCAATAATAAAGAAAATAGGGATGGATTTCATGGCCAGAGCAGTTGCCTCGCATTCATGGGGCCCGGAGTTCAATTCTCAGCAATTCGAAAATCAAAATAAGATAAGGATATCTTGGCTGTATGTTATACTGCTGCTCTCCTCGCTGTTTCCGGCAGAGTCAGGGCTAGAAGGTCTAACCAGGGCTAGGTTCTTTTTGCCAGAAGAGAATCTTGGAATTCAAAAAAAACTTTGAAAGGAGCCAGGCGGTGGTGGCACACGTCTTTAATCCCAGCACTCGGGAGGCACAGAGAGGCAGATCTCTGTGAGTTCAAGGCCAGCCTGGTCTACAGAGTGTGTTCCAGGACAGGTTCCAAAGCTACAGAGAAACCCTGTCCAAACAAACAAACAAACAAAATCTTTGAAAGGAAGTGACTTCAGCGCAGGGCTCTAGAAGCCAAACTGAAGTCTTTTAAGGGGAGGGAGGACATGAGCAGTGTCCTGAGGCCAGAGGACGGTTAGTCTAAGCGAGGTTAAACTGCACAAAGAATGTGGAAGGTGCGAACGAGTTTGCCTGGAACTGAGATTCCAGAGGCCACAGGATTAGCAGAGGTGTTAGCAGCAAGGGCGAACATAAGATTGTGTGGTTAAATTAAAGAGGAAAGGATCACTGTGGGAGAGCATGCCAAGAAAGTGGGAGCCTTCGGTGTCCACAGCCTCATCCACCAGGACAGAGATGCCACTGTCTCAGGACAGGAAGAGCACTGGAAAGAGCAAGTGTGACGGTTTTTGTGGGAGAATGGCTAACAAAGAGGTCAGTGGTTGGCATCAAACACTGCGTGGACTTCAAAGGACTTGTGAGTCTTTGAAGGAGAGCAGGGGAGAAACTGTCTGGAAGCAGCCAAGGAGAGCAAAGCCTGGAGGAGCAGACTGTCGTCACGGGCTTTTGGAGACCCCATGATGCTCTCGGGGAAGGATCCAGCTTTTCAGTAAGGGTGAGAGGGGCAGAGAAGAAGAAGGCATGCTGATACTTGGTAAGGTTAGGCAGTCCCACAAAGTCCAGGATTTGGAAGGGCCATGGCACACTCTGTCAGGGCAAAAGACTCTTTTAAATAAAAACTTATAAATGGGGCTGGAGAGATGGCTTAGTAGGTAAGAATATTGCTTGCTCTCCCAAAGGTCCTGAGTTCAATTCCCAGCAACCACATGGTGGCTCACAACCATCTGTCATGAGGTCTGGTCTGCAGGCATACACACAGGAAGAATATTGTATACATAATAAATAAATACATAAATAAATAAATATTTTTAAAAAAACTTATAAATGGTTTGTGTGTGACACCCCCCCCCCCGATTCATGTGCTGGAAACTTGGTCACCAGAAGGTTTCTGTGGATAGAGAAGAGACCTTTAAGAACAAGGTCTATGTTGCAGATGTAGCTCATTTGGTAAAGTGCCTTCCTGGCGTGAGCAAGAGGCCCTGGGTTCTATCCTTAGTACTGTATAATCTGGACCTGATCACACACACCTGGAAACCCACATTCTGGAAGTAGAGGCAGAAGGATCAGAAGGTCATTCTCAACCTCAGATACATAGTCTGTTTGAAGCCACAACATGAGACCCTGCTGGAGTTGGGAGCAGATCCTTTGATTGGCAGAGGGATGTTCCCAGGGACAAACTAAGGTGGGTCCCATGGGCCCCTAGAACTCTCTGAGAGTGAGCTGAAGGATGGAACTGCATCCTGAAATGTACATGCCGCTATCGTCCAACAAAGTTCTTGTTAAAGCCAGCACTGTGCTATTTGGACCATTCACCTCCAAAACTTCCTAAATAGTTGACGTCAGCCTACCTTGGGTATTTTGGTGTAAAAATAAAATCAATTAACACAGGAATGGAATGGATGTGATTCATCAAGAAAATACTACATAGGCTTTCATCTCTCATCAAAAAAATCTTCTTTCTGTAGCAGGTGGAGGCTATTACAAAGAACCACAACTGATCAAAATACAGAGAAATAAGTGATTTTTTAAGCCCATCCCCAAATGGACAGAGTAAGAGAACCCTATACCCTAAGCTCATGGAACATTACAGAAGATTGCAAGAACCCGAGGACAAGGAGACTGTTGCCAAATACTGTGTTCTGGATGTCACAGGAAGCTGCTCAGGAAAACTCAACACGGCTGTCTGCACAAGGCAACGCCAGTCAGTATTTCAAGGTACGTGGGGGAAGGACTCACAATGCTCCACCCCTGGCTGAAGATCTACGGGCATGAGAAAGAAAGTGAATCCGTTTTCTACAGGGGGAGCCCTTCTGGAAAGATTCTGAGTCTAAGCAGTCAGTCTTATACCCGTGAGCATATGGACAACAGTATTGGACTCACAAACCCACACATACGCATGTGCACACATGTATACATGCATGAGAACATACACACACACTGGAAAAACAATCATTAAAGACAAGGACATCATTATAAAGGGAGGACAGGGCAACATGGGAAGAATTGGAAGGGCTGGGGTGGTTATAGTAAAAATATATTGCAGTTACAAAATTATTTTAAAAAATTAAAAATGTTTATAGAAAACAAAAAATAATACAACAAAAATTAAGAACACACTACATATCTTTTCCATTGGCTTGACATGAAAGCGGTGCCCTGTAAGCGCTTGTCTTAATTATTATCGTGACTTGGGATGGCCAGGGTTAACTCAGTCCACGGCCAAGCGTTCCCCCTAACCAAGCCCACCAGAGTGACTCATGGCTGACTCTGGCCTGAGGATCTGTTTGAAACCAGCAGTGTGAGTCTCCGTGGATCTCACTAGTCCCTCCCTGTACCACTTTGGGCCTCGAGGAAACAATATAAGCTAACAGAAAGCATCATGACCCTGATCCCAAAGCCCAGTGTAAACAGTTGGCAGGGCCTGGCAGCAGCCTGTTTGCTTTTAATATTGTCTTCTGTGCAGCAGAAGTGAGGCATGCTTTCCCGTGTTTGCCTACTTTATCTGCGCAGGCTGGCAATCTGTTTCAGACTGTACCTGTTTGTTTGTGTGTAATTGCTTTTGAAAGTTTAGAGGTAATAACTACTGAATGGTTTAGCTGATCCATAGAAAGAGGAAGCTCGCTGCCTAGCTCCCTGTCTCCTTGACATCCTTGTAAATTGTGTGAAATTCCCTACATGAGGCTTTCCTCAAACATGCCCTTGTCCCATGGCACCTGACTCTCAGGGGGTATTTCAGCAGTGCTTTGTGTTCTAGGCTAATCAACACCCCCATGCCATTCACAGCCTGTCTTCAAGGGTGGATCACACATAGCCAAGGCAAGATGAATTATTAGCTTAGGAAATCCTATAACCCACACACTACACTAACCTCCCTCAATTAAGTACAAAGAAGAAGGGCTTGAAAGATAGTTTTATTTTTACAAATGAAAATGATGACAGATATGGGAGGTGTCTCTGACTCGTCTGTTTTTTGGGACTCTTTCCCTCCTACTAGGTTGCCTCACCCAGCCTTGATATGAGGGCCTGTCTTATTGTACCTGGTTATACCATGCTCAGTGGATATCCCTGAGAGGCCAGCTCTTTTCTGAAGGGAAATGGAGGAGTGGATCTGGGGTAAAGACAAAATGGGGTTAGGAGGAGTAGGAGGAGGGGAAACTGCGACTGGGATGTACTAAAAATAAAAAGTAAATTTTAGAAAGAAATAACGAAAACTTGAAATTTTCAGGCAAATGAATGGATCTAGAAAACATTATATTGAGTGAGGTAACCCAGAGACCCTGAATAACAATTGTTGTATGTATTCACTCACAAGTAGTGTTTAGATATAAAGCAAAGGAAACCAGCTTACAATTCACAATCTCAGAGAACCTAGACAACAATGAAGACACTAAGAGAGACTTACATAGATCTAATCTACATGGGAAACAGAAAAAGACAAGATCTCCTGAGTAAATTGGGAGCATGGGGACCATGGAAGAGGGTTGAAAGGGAGGGAAGAGGAAGGGCAGGAAGCAGAGAAAAAATGTAGAGCTCAATAAATATCAAAAAAAATCAACAAAAAAAAAAGAAAAGAAAAAGTGAATTTTAGAAAAGAGTGGGGTGCTCTTGCCACCTTGCTTTGAGGCCCCGTCATCCAGAGTGTAGAGTTTATAGCGCAGACAGCACTGGGGAAGTAGCATAGGATGCTGCACACGGTAACCAAGAGACTTGTGAAGGCGGCCTCTAACTGGAGGGCTGGGGGAGGGCTGCTCCAGGGTGTCATACTCACTAGGACCAGGAGCCAGAGTGGCCAGAACCTCCTCAGAAGAAATGCTATCTGCACCGAGCGCTGCCTAACTCAATTAACTGCCTTGGTCAGAGGCAGTTACAGCCCAAGAAATTCAATTTGAAGGTAAGTGTACAACTGGAGCCCTGCTTAGACCTGGCCCCTGAAAATTAGATTCTCTATTTTTTATGGGACATTGAGCTATATCCGGTTCTTATCAGCTTCCCCTCTGGCACCACTAACCTCTCCCGCCTGTGGTGACTGAGCCGTTTGCACGTAGCCTCTCCTGCTCCCTTGTCCTGGGGTTTCCTGAGGCCCAGGCATTCTCCCTATGCTCACTCAAATCCTCACTCAAGGCCTCCGTGGAGCAGAACACCCTTTCTAGAGTGTGTAAGACAACGGAAGGAGGTGTAGTGGAAGTGTGCTTGGTTGTGGTCCTGCAGCGCACAGGTATAGCGCACACCCTAGGCCGCTCATTCCTACAATCGCTCTGTGAAGCAGATAGCACGCCCAGGCTCATTTCAGACGGTATTCAAGTGCTGCTCATCGTGAAACCAAATCACTTCAAAACAACATGATCCAAAGGCGTGGGAAAATGTTCATAGGCACTGAGGATTAGGGTTTATATCTCAGGTCTCACTAAATAAGATAGCAGGACTCGGGGAAGTGGGGGACCTGGGGGAACTGGGGCTGTAGCTCGGTGATAGAATGCTTGCCCAGTTTGCATGAGGGCCCTGGGATTTATCCTCAGAAGTAGTCAAAAATAAAGAGCAGACAGCATGTGCACAGTTGCCTGGAAACAGAGCTGATGGCCTCAGGCCCATCCGCCTCGGTGGTTGGAACAACACCACAAAATTTTACATAAATTTTATATAAACAAAAGATTCTTTAAAAGTGATGCTATAAGGTGTGGAGTTAATTTTATCAATTACTGGATGAGAATCGCTAGGAGACACATCTCTGGGAAGTCTGGGAGGGGTGTGAAGAGAGGGTCACGTGAAGAAGAAGACCCACACTGAGTGTGGGAAGCACCACTTGTAGCCTGTGCCTTAGACAACGACTTTAAAAAGGATGCAAGGTCAGTGCAGGCAGCCCCTGCTCTCTGCATCACGGTACCTGGAGAATGGAGGCGCAGGCCTTCCCCACCAAGGTAGACTATATCCTCCCAACACAAGCTCAGAGGTCTTTCCTGTGACCTCTGTGACGCTGCTTTGTCGGTATTTTGCCACAGCAGTGAGGAAAGTGACACAGAGAGGTTAAGTGGTTTTCACACGTTTGCATTGCCAGTCAATGCTCTGGGGACAAAACCAGGCCTTTGGCTGGAAACACCAAAGAGTTTTACAGAGTACTAGGTATGTGACCTTTCCATGGCCCCCCATCTTTCACAAGGTGACTCTCTGCACAGCCATGTGGACTCAGTGCATGGGTGTGGACATGGGGCTGAGTCCATGAAGGGCGTGTGCTGTCCCTATGAGAGACTGGTGACATGGATTTGATGGCTACTGAACACCTTCAGAAAGGCCCAGCTCACCTGCACGATGCTTCAGCCTTTGGTAGGGACCCAGGTCACTTACCTAGCTGCCACTCGGGGGAACACATGGTCTGCAGCATCCAGATGGGCAGTGTGGGCTCGAGCATTGCAACTCCCATGTTGGCCAGGCAGATGGAACCTGAGAGACAGTCTGTGAGCCGATGGGCTGCCTAAAGCCTGACTCTTCCCACACAGAGGGAAGCCATGGTCAGCTTACCTGCTGCGACCAGGATGTAAGGGTCTTTGAGAAGTGTCAGAAGTGGAGTCCCCGTGACACTCTGGGAAAACAAAGAATAGGCACCTTCTAGTTCTTCAGACTTTACAGGCCTTCTGTTGCCACAAGATGTAAGCTAGGACCTTAGACATCATTGGCTCCTTTACTGTAGAGGCCAAGAAATTCAGGTCTAGGGAAAGGAAGTGACCAGGCTGGTATCACAGCTGGGACAGAGTCCATCTTGTGTGTAAGTCCTGAGGTAGTCAGAGCAGCATACCATGCATTGAATATAATTCCTATCTCCTGTGAATGGCAGCAAGGCCAGGATGGTCAGACCTGTCCAGGGCCTTTCCACTATCTCCCTGAAAACGTTTGTCCTACAGGCAGCATTTGACAAAAGGCAGAGCACTCAAGCCCAAAGGGAGAGCAGAAGGGCTACAGAAGAGAGCTCCTCATGCTGCCCAGGTTCAGCCTTTGATCCATTCTGAGTACGCTGTGCAGTTGGTGAGCTTAAACACCCATGTTCACATGCTGGTCCTAATGACCAATTTTGATTGCCCCTCTCTCTTGACATTACCCTTACACTAGCTACACCTAAACACCCCACCTTCCTTTTGGTGCCTTTACCCAAATTACCACTCTTCTCATCTCTAGAGTTCTCCATCTTACCTGTTCTTCAAGATCAAGTTCAAATTTCACCTTTGCCACAGTGTTCCCTGACTCAGTTGGCAGAACCAAAGAGTCCTAATCTCTGGTGTGTTGTCTACTCGTCACATGTGAGATTTAATAGTCTGGATACAATGACCACATATGATAGACACACACAAGAATGGATAAATTTAGAGGTGCCAAAACCAAAATTATAATATTGCTACCCCATTTGCAAATCAAAGCAAAGAAATGAATATAAATCGCAAACATATACACAAAGAAGTAAGTAAGCATCACAGTTAAAGACAGGTAATGATTACTGCCAGAGCTGTGGGTGTGCATAGCTTAGTGGTGGAGGGCTTGCCTGGGCTGTGCAAGGCCCTGGGTTCAATCCCTACCACAGACTGTCAGAGGTGAGGAGACAGAGAGAGAAGTCAGAAGAAGTAAAAAACACTACTTCCAACATTATAAAGTGTGTGTTTATGGGGCTATTAGCTAAAGTATTATTTGTGATGGCAACATACTGAAAACCACCTAAATACACACACAGGAAACAGAATGACGCATTTTCTTCCCTAATGTGAGACATACAACTGCAAAATAGCAAGGGGGTGGGTTTTTTTGGTATACATTATTAAGTGAGGAGGGAAAGGAGAATATTAAGGAAAATATAGAGTATGTTACCTCTTGGAAAAGAAAAGGCGGTAACCACAAGAAAACATACATAAATCATTTAGGAGAAAAACACACAAACATAGAAAGGAATTAAAATGCTTGTTTTGGAGAGATAGAGGTGAAGGAAGCGAAGGGGGAAATAGCAATAGATTAATACCCTTTGAATATATCTTTCTAGATAGCTTTGGCTAGGTAATGGTCTATACACCCCAAAGATACTATACTAATGTTATGAAGTGATTATGCCCTTACCAATTCACACAACAAAGTATTATGCTACATTCGAGGAAAAGGACTTTCTAGTGTTCCCGCTGACACTCGGGCCATAGTATCATCCTCCGCAGTATGTTCTTCTTATTAGACTTTGTAGACGATCTCACCCCCTTGCTCTTTGTATGTAGAAACTTCTCCAGCTCAGACATATCCTTGCCCTCCCAACAATGTCCAGTCCTTCTCTGCTTCTGTTGCTACAATCGCTTCTTTGACTTCATACAATTCACGGATACTAGGGGAGCTGGCCCAGGTGGACACACGGCCTTGTCCACTGCTACCACTGCTCCTGTCCCCCCAGCACCTTCTTGATCAGCGCTCACACACTGGGCAACTTATTGCTCAATGCTGTACCCATAACCCTCATAAGACAGCTCGATCTGGGTTTCTCAAGCCATCTTTGTCTTGAAGTCAGAAAAACACAAACTCTGGTATTTCTTAGCTATAAATGAACGGTGTTCATCTTGGTTGTCTGGAGGTCTCTGTCACCTTCTTCATTCCACAGAAAATATTTGATTCTTTCTACAGCCCCCTCCCCTTCCATCTTTGTCCAATACCAAGCCAGAGTTCTTTGCTATCTCCTAAGTGTAGGCCTGCCTAGAATCCAAATCTGGGGTTCACTTTTCCTGACTTTTTCTTTCTCCTGTGCTTAGCCATGCTATTTATCCCAGAGTAATGGAATATCATGTCCACTTACCTCAGAAAACACCTTGGAAGGCCATAGGATGCAGAGTTGGAGAGCTGAGGAGAAAGGGAGACAGAGGAGGAGTTCTGCTTACTCATCGATTATCTAGGGCTCTGCTAATGGCCGCATAGCGACCACCTTGACTCCCTCAGCTTCTTCCTCTTCTCCTAGAATGGGACAGTCCTTGACCCATCTAAACATGTCAAGATAGACACCGTGGCATGATGTGTTTCCAACCTGAGCTGAGCTATTATCTGTCTGGAGGCACTGGCCTTGACTTACCTCCATCCAGAAGTGCCAGAAAGGCCAAGATGAGGAACGGCGAGGACTTGCCCACGAATTCATACATCACACTTCCAAAAGGGGCTCCCACTGAAAGAGAAGACAGCACAGACACCTGCACAGCACCCTCTCAGCCTTTACTGAAGGCCTTGAGGGTGTAAGCTCCACTGAGGCTGGAGGTAATTCTGTCCTCAAGGTATTCCTTTTTAGCAAATGAAATTTAGCAGAGCAGGGATTGGGGAAGCAATAAAACAATTGAAATGTGGTAAAATACTCAACAGTAAATGGTCTTGCGCATAAAATACTGTGTAAATCCTAATGGAATGAATAAGAAAGGCCAGGTGGTCACAAACACTTTGCGGAGTCCGCCGCATCTGGGTGATGTGCAGGGTCAACAATGAAGAGGGCTGATGCTAATGCAACGCGAGTATTTTGAGGGAAGATGTGAAGATGAAGATGGTTGGGGCAATGCCAACCAAGGGCTCCAGAAATCTAGGTGAGGTATCTATTGATGTAACCAACAATAGCCTTGTTGGTTATTGAGAAACAAATTACTTTTTAGCAGAGAAAAAACACCACCAAGAGATTCTTCTGGTAGCATGTACCTTGAAGGCAGGAGGAGTTGTGAAAGAGAATGTGTAGGAGGTTGGTAACAAGAAAAAGGGAGAGGCTAAGCTTGAAAGGATCCAGCGTGTTTGCTCTTCTGAAAGTGTGATAAAGGAGTCTAGTATGACCCACATCCAAGACTGGGTATCCATATGACTACTAACAAAGGACAGGGATTTCTTTCCTCTCTTCTCTACCATGGTGGCTGGTAGGGCATAAGCCAGGGAATATGAGAGTTGAGTCTTTCCCTTGGTAAGCTTGCAAACTCCCTGAGGGCAGAACATTGTCTGAAGCCTTTAACCTCTATGCCATCTGTGTCAGCATGGTGTTTGGCACAGAGAAAGTGCTTGGCAAAAGGAAGCAGCTTGTTGAATTAGTCAGTATGAAGTCTAAACATCAAGAAAAACATAAATATGTTGTTTGGAGCTGGGACTTCTGAGTACAGAAAATCTGAGTCCTTATCCCTGACCCGGCGGTACTTTGGATAGCTCCTTAATCTTTCTAATTCTCATCTCTAGCCTGGGGACAGCCGTTCATCCTTCACTAATTGGCGGTTAGGATTAAAGGACATTACTTCTGTGAAATCAGCAGAGACTCTGGCAAAAGCCCAGGACTCTGTGGAAAGCAGCAGCTGTGCACAGAAGGAGAGGTGAGGGAAGCAGGAGCCATGATGTGGAGACTTTCCTCGCTTGGACTGGATGGCCTCCAGGACTTCCCTGAACCCTCCTTGTATTTCACAGCTTCTTAAAGAGACAAATGTCACCTCCCCCAAGTGATCTATCTGATGGAGTCAACACAACTGGGCCAGGGAGGCAAGGAAAATACTTACTTGTCTTCCACGTCAGGGAAGTACCTGCCTCCTGGAGCCATCTACAAAGATATAGATGTTTGCAACACCCCCATCTCCCTAATTCAGGCCTTCATTTAGGTACTACTTACCCAGAAGCCCCAAAGCCAGGCCCCCCAAAGCAATTCCCATGGCTCTCCCTCGTTCGTAGTTGTCAGTGTAGACACTGGCCAGCATCCCAAGCCCTGCATTGGAAATGACAGCGGATGTTGGCATATGGGAAGTTGCTGATTGTTTTTTACAGCCATTGGTCCCCGCCCTACAATATCTTGAGTCTTTGCTGGATATTTCATTTGAGGGGTCTTTATAAAACTTAGCTCAGAGAATACTAGAAATACTTCCTCCCACAGTTGCCACTCCCTCCTCCCCTACACACAACTTATTATTTTGGTGCTAATATTGTTAAAAACAAAAAGCCTTAGAGAAAGGGCAATATAATAATACTACTGTCTAATTACTTCACGTTTCATAAGGGTTTGTCATTTCCTAATATCTCCTTGCGTGAGGAGGTTACGGACCAGGCCAGGAAAGGAAGATGTATGACTGGACTGTTGTATTCAGTACGGTGGTCAAGGAGGACATGAAAACACTAGGCCCCTGGGAGACAGAACCGACTGGGAGCTTCCAGCAACTGTGCCACCAGGCCATTCCGTTGTGTGAGGGGCAGAACACAGCAACCTCACGGGATACTGTGATACCTTTGCTTAGCCACACTATAAAAGCTATGATGACATCACTGAAATAACAAGTCCTATTAAATAAAAGCAACGCAAAGGAAAGGCCATGAAGTGGAGTAGATAAAAGCCTGACCTATGGAACCTATGGACCCCTCCCACAAGTTTACAATCACTGTATTCCTGAATGACAATTGCTACCTCCCTGCATGGCATTTTCCTTAGTTTCCTGATATAAATTTTATATAGCACCAAAAGTAGTTAGGTAGCGGCAAGAGGGGTGTGTGTGTGTGTGTGTGTGTGTGTGTGTTTTGCAGCATTACCTGCAACAGATGAAAATGAAGATCCGATGCCTTGAAGGGTTCGGGCTACAAATAGCAGGGCATAGGTGCCAGAGAAAGCAAACACTGGGAAAGATAAGAGTAAGAATGATCCAGGTTGGTGTGAGGAGAGACATTTTCCTCAGTGGGGTAGCCATTAGTAGGGGGCTTGTGCTCCTGTAAATAGCCCCTCACCCATGCTTTTATAAGTAACCCTAATTACATTTGTTGGGTCGCCAGAAAAGACGTGAAAGTAGAAGGGGGCTCACTGGGACTAGGAAGATTAGTGAGGGGGGATGAAAAAGGGCAATTGGGAAGGAGGATGATCAAAGGTACCTACCAAAATGCAAGAAATGACCATAACAAAACCCATTAGTAGTATTAGGTTAATTAAGTCATCACAGTCAGAGTCAGCAATCAACCTGACATAAGCCAGAGTCATCTGGGAAGAAGTAACCTCAGTTGAGGCATTACCTAGATCAGATTGGCCTGTGGCCATCTCTGTGAGGCATTTTCTTAATTGCTAATAGATATAGGAGGGCCCAGCCCAACACGGGCAGTGCTATTCCTAGGCAAGTGGTCCTGGATTGTACAAGAAAGGTAGCTAAGCACGCCATTAGCAACAAGTCAGTGAGCATCTTTCTTTCATAATCTCTGCATTCGTTTCTGCCTCTGGGTTCCGGCCTTGGCTTTCCCCAACCAGGAACTGTACCCTGCAAGCCTAATAAACCCTTTTTTTCACCAAGTTTCTTTAGGTAAGAATATTTTATCACAACAACAAAAACGAAAATAGGACATTAATAAAACAACATTTTTAAAAAATAATTTTTAGGTCAAAGAAATGACTCGGTGAGTAAAGGTACTTCCTGCCAAGACCACAACGTGAGTTTGATCATGGAGCCCACAGGGTAGGGGAAAAGCAACTCTTGTAAGTTGTCCTTTGACCTTGATGCACTCGGTGGCATACATATGCATGTGTAATAAATACATAACACAATACATAAACATCAAAAAATTCTTTGAAAAAAAAAAGGAGGAATTAGCAAGCTGACTCAAGTTCCATAGAGGGATAAGTCACTGTTACATGGATTTTTAAGCATGCATAATGAGCTGAGACCCATTGTTTCATAGAATTAACATATGCAAATACAAAAGAAAGAAGAAAGCATGATGATGTTTGCCTTCTGTTCTTGAAGTTAATTGCTTAACTGATGTCACTCCAGCCTTCAATAAGGATGGATTTAGAATTGATAACAAAGCTAAGAGTCACAGGGCATAAATCACGTCAGTACCGGTGGAAGGAAGGTGAGGTCTCTGTACTTCTTGCTCAGAGTCTGATATTCTACCCACTGAAATTGAGAGCTGGTACCTATCCCTACTCCTGGATCCGGTATTACATCACATTGCCCCTTGCCATTGCTGGGTCATCCTGGGCCATCTGTTGTGTGCACCTCAAGGGCCATAGACATTGGGTAGAAGACATCTTACATTTGATCTGATCTTTCCCCTTGGTGGAAGATGCTTCCACCAATCAAACTGGGGTTTACTACATGATCCCAAGTGTGCTGCTCTGCTGGACTGGGAGTGGACGTGAAAGAGAAAGAGCACATCAGTTTATGCCTTGGACAATGGACCATCTAGTAGAGACACCAACACAAATGAAACTGCGAGGCAAACTGGAGAGTGCCGTCTCAAACTAAATTACAGGTTGTAGAGAATGTTGGTAGTCCCAGACATTGCTCATCCTTGACTCCCAAACAATATCTCCAAAGGAAAAAAAGAATCCTTCCCAAGGTGTCTGAACCAGACAAACTTTAATCTTCCTGACCACTTATTATAGGTGTCTTGGGTTGTTTTATGAACTTCAGTTACAACCCAGCATGACCGCACCCAACTAATTGTCTCCCAAAAGCACACATTCTCAGTCCCTCCATGTTTAGCCTCCAATGTCCATCCTCAGACTGTCTAGTACCTAGCATGCTTAAACCCCACTATTTTTGTATCTTTATTTGAATGGAGTGGCCAATTTGTCTTTTGTTTCTTTTTTAGTTTCAGAACTGAAAGTCACATTGTGGAGAACCTCAATCCTGGGAAAATCAGGACAGCTGGTCATACTATTGAGAAAAAGCAATCATTTTCATTTTTTTTCTTTTTTATTTGTTTGTTTGGCTGGGGTTTTTTTTTTAAAGATAGGGCTCCTCTTTGTAACAGCTCTGGGTGCCCTGAAACTCAATTTGTAGACCAGACTGGCCTCAAGCACACATAGATCCACCTACTTCTGCCTCTCAAGTGCTGGGATTAAAGGTGTGTGCCACCACCACCTGGCTTCTTTCCATTTTTCTAAATTAATATGGGTCATTATTTGTCTCCCAGTTGCATAAAAAAAATCCAGATAGGGGCTTTGAGAGTAATGATAAGCACCAGCAACTTCTTAGTAATTTTGTTTTTTTGAGACAGGATCTCACATATCCTGGGCTGACCTTGAACTCACTATAGCCAAGGATGACTCTGACTTTCTAAGCCTCTACTTCTAGCTCCCAAGTTCTAGGATTACAGGCCTGTGCCAGCACGCCCAGTTCTTACTTATTTTATTCAAACCCCAAGTAAGTCTTCCATAGGCTACACTAGCAGCCAAATCTATTGTCTTTTGTATAGAATTAGTCTAACTCAGTATATCAACACTAGTGACCTCACATAAACCATAATTGTTATTCAACACATACAGTTAGGTAAACAAGAAAAGGTTTTAATTACTACTTCTTGGCAGAGAAGCAGGCAGCTATTTTATACTAAAGAGGTCGGGCCACAGATACACTTCATGGTCTTATTTTGCAGGGTATGGTCATGATTCCAAAGGCAACAAGCACACCCTCATCTAGACAGCGAGAACATATTTTATGCTTTATGTGTGTTGAAGGAAAAAAAATTAATGAATTTCCAAGTCACACTGGATGGCCATATTCCTTAATTTGTTCTCTAACACAGGCTGAGTTTATGGAAATTAATGAACACTGCTACTGAACTTCCTAATTTTCTTTTCTTATTGGTAAATTCTCTTTCACCACTTCATAACATGTACACCCTGGCCTCCACCTCACCACCTTCTCCCAATTCCCTCTGGACCCAACCAGCCCCTCTACCCTCACAAATCTCTTGCCTTCATTACCTGGTTTTGGCTTTGTGTGGTGTCCCACAGAGTTTGATGAGGGCCTTCTCTATGACCCTGAGTTTAGAACGAAGTCGCAGCACCTGGTGACTGCTTTTTTTTCCACTCTAATCACCCAAATGTTTTTCCAGTTCTCAGCAAGAACACCCCGTTTCAAGCTCTTGCACTTCAGCCTTCCTTTCACCCCGAAATTTAACTTTGGATTGGGTCAGTTCTTACTGCAGGGGGAAGAAAAGCTGAGGATTCGGAATAGAGAAGAAAATGTGTGATAGAAAACTAAGAAAAAAATCAAGAAGGAGGGAGAAGCTGTGTCATTCGGAGCAGGCCTTAGCAAAGGCAGTAGGAAGCAACAGCTACAGGCACCTTCCTGGCATTAACCCCTAGAAGTGGACACCCCCACCCTGTGTGCTTCCTCCTCATGTCTCAGAGTCAGCATTAGGCTTATTCACCTCACTGTTTTGATTCTGCCTCCATTCATTAGGAACATCAAGCTGATACTGAATGGGCTTTGTCATTTATTCTCCTGTTTCTTTAGCAAATTTGCTTCCCTAAAGTATTACCTTTAGTGTCCTCAGTTAGGAAACAGTGGGATTTGGGACTTTTCTAGTTACTAGGACACAATATTCCTTTGCTGTTGTTGTTGTTAGTCACCTTTCACCATAGCATACCAAAGGAATACCTTTACTGTAGCATACTGAAGTAATACTATCTCTTTGTAAAAGATGGGAGACTTGCAGCAGTAAGCTTGCTCGAGAGATTAGTTACACACACACACACACACACACACGCCCCTACCTGAACAAGTAAATACACATACACACATTCGTATACGCCATGTTGTGTACATTCAAACAACTTTCATGATTTTCACTGAAGTAAATTAAGAATCTGTTCTGTAGAAGAGGAGAAGGATTCCAATTAGAGGGAAGTGGTTACTTACGCTATCCCAGCCCCTGTTCAAATGACTACAGAACATTTCAGTCAATGTCCCAGTTGCTTGTTCAGATGTCTTACTTTTCTTAGTGAAGAGAAGCCAATGACTTACTTAGTGTGGAGAGAAACATGATCATAAAGCCAGCAAACATGGGGATGTGATAGCCAATCCTAAAAAACAGAAGTGAGCAAAGAAAGATAACATTGCAGCGGGCATTCATATTCTCGAACAGTATTTTTTTAATTTTAGTAGGCACAGAGATGGGGTTAATCTAAGGGTAATTTTTCATATGTGAGTGCATACACATAAATAAACATACACGCAAACCTACCCACACACAAGGCCCCAATGATCCTTCCAGAGAAGGTGTCTCTCAAAACTTCAGGATCGTCTTGGGGAGAACTCCAGGAAGCCAGAGCACAGTTGGCACTCAGACTGTCCTATACTCCCCTCCACCTCACTCAAGCCGTGCTCACCGACTTCCAGGTGCTCGGTGCTTCTGTTCTCAGTACTCAGATTCATTCACATCACTGAGAAAATGTGATGCCTAGAGCATTTCACCAACAACCTGCTCTCCTTTGGGATAACAAGCTGCCAAACTGTTGGCTCCCCTGGGGTCAGAACACCCCTTCTTTTCTTTTCTAACCAACCTGCATCAGGTTCTTAACCTGTGGGTCATGACCTTTTGGGAGTTACATATTAGATATTCACATTACAATTTATAACAGCAAAATTACAGTTATTTTATTAGCAACGAAATGATTTTACAGTGGGGGTCATCACAACAAGAGGAACTGTATTAAAGGGTTACAGCATTAGGAGGGCTGAGAACCACCAACCTATATGAGACCTGGGCCTCTGTCCTAAGTATGTACTTTGTGAATAGAACACTGTGGCATTTGAATAAGAATGGGACCCATAGGCTCATACATTTGAACACTTAATCACCAGAGAGTCACACATTGAAAGGATTGGAAGGATTAACAGGTGTGGCCTTGTTGGAGCAAGCACGTCACTGGGGGTAGACTCTGAGGTTTCAAAAGTCTGTGACAACTCTAGAGCCTCTGTCTCTTTCTCTCTCTCTCTCTCTCTCTCTCTCTCTCTCTCTCTCTCTCTCTCTCCTCTCTCTGTTTATGAATCAGGATGCCTCTCTCTGTTATGCCTCCTATCTGCATCCTGCTGTGCTTCCTGCCATGAGGATAATAGACTAAACTTCTGAAGTTGTAAGCAAGCCCCAAATTTAAATATTTTTTTTCCTGCAATAATTACCTTGGTCATGGTGTGTCTTCACAGCAATAGGGCAATGACTAAGACAGACACTGTGATTACTGATTTACCTGTTGGTAAGAGGTCCTACAAATGGGTTGACCAGAAGCTGCATCAAAGCCTTTGAAGCAAATAGAATCCCAACCCGGACGTTTTCTTCTTCCAAGAACTCTATCCCTTGCAAACAGTTGTTTTTAGGTAGTGAGCCAGCTTCAGTGACTGGAGGAGGGATGGTGCTATTTGTCCATGCTACACGGAAGGGTACATGTTCTTCTACAGTCATCGTGGTGTTGTCAAAGCAGGAGAATATGGTGGAGAAGGCAGAAGAGGTTAGAGTTTGCTGGGAGCTCACAGGACTTCTATGCAAAGAAGAGTTGATGTCTTTGAACTCTGTTGCATACAAGAAGGTGGGCACAATGGGCACTGAAAATCAATGAGGATATGTGAGGAAACTCAAGGTCAGAGGTCCTTTTACCACTACTAAGTTCAAAAGCATTACTACAACGTCCAGTTTGAAGCAGAAAGAAGACTCCTAAGTGACATCATTTAAAGCCTACTAAAGACCGTGCCTGCTCAAACCATCCTATCAGCTAAAGGACCAAATTCTAGCCACCATACAGTTAGTCTTGGCATATTTGTGACATCCTTACTGGTTAATTCATCTACTTGGAAAGAATCATGTATAACCTAAGAATCAATACTTGATGATGATCTATAATGATTTTTCACAGATGGATGCAAAATGGGAAAAATATTCACCCAATACACATATCCCAGCTGAAGTAAAACACAGCTGGCTCTGCCTTTTTGTATCAGTTTCCAGGTGACCAGAGGGCTGGAAAGGCTAAGGACCCAGGTAGTGTGGTGTGAGAAGCTCTAACTCTGAGGCAGCTCACAGGAATCAAATTCCAGCCCCAGGACTCAACATCTCTGAGTCTTGTTTTCTTTCTGTAAAAGACAGAACCTACCAGGACCCACTGATGTCCAGATTTAATAATTTCTATTGTGGAGATACTAAGATTTCTTATTTGATATTTCAGTGTTTGTGAGAATTTTACGAATTATAGAAGCATAAGAATTGAGTATTGACTGCACTGAATTATCTGTCAGCCAGACAGTGCAGGACTGTGAGGCAGTGAACTGCCCACAGGGCCGGGATTGGTAAGGACTTGGTTATCCTATGTTTGCAAAGACAAGGCAGGAAAAGCACCACAGGTAAACAATGCCCACTGCCCCACGTGTCTCTGGAATCATCAGCAACCATGGGAAGACATAATGGTGAAGAAGTAGATCTTCTTTTCCTGCCAGGCACCTTTGAACCTGCTTTTGTTTGAACCTCTGAAGTTCGACAGCCTTCAGACCCTGCTGCCTACAGTTCCCGCCAACTCTCAACAACCTCCATGTCTTTTCCATATGACAAACTTGTCTTAACAAGTCTGCTCATTGATGAAATCAAGCAGGGTACATGCTGCCTGCTGTGACCCAAAGCAAATACATCGTTGACAGAAAAAGCCCCAGACGTACCCACCACAGTGAGCAGCATGTTGTCCAGGAGCAGAGCCACAAACACCACCACCAGCACCAGCTGCCGGGACGCTCTCCCTTCCTTCAGCAACCGCCGAGGAGCACCCAGAACAACCTGGAACATGGCAGGGCTGCAGGAGGCGAGGCTGGGTAGGGAGTGGGAGAGTAGGGCCCTTCTCCTCCTGGTGCTTAGGAAAGGTCCCTTGACAGATGTGGGTCTTCTGTCACCTTTGTAGAAGAGGAAGTCGGCCTGGTCCAGTCCAGCTCACTGTACAAATCAACAGTGGAAATGCTTGCAAGCAACGAAAGAGTTTGGATTTTCCATGCCTGTCTGCTCATTTTTTTATATAATCTCAATAATTCCATATTTCCCATAACGCTTTGAATAAAACTTTGCTTACCAGAGATTTGTGTCTGAAATTGCAGCCACCGCATTAAGCAGCTTCCACTGATGCCCAGCCTCCTTGTTTTTCAAACGAGAGACATCAGCTTTTTACCTGAATGGTGTGGGCATCACCTGAGCCATTGCAGACTCGTCTCCTCTAATTTTTAAATGGTTTTAATTGTGGAACAATGTTTTTAAAGGTAGCTTCATGAGTCAGGCATGGTGGTGCACACCTGTAATCCCAACACCCAGGAGGCTAAGCCAAGAGGACCATAAGACTGGGGCCAGCCTGGACTACATAGAGATTCAGGTCACAGCTGCACAGCAAGACCTTGCCTCAAAAATAACATAAAATACAAATAAAAGCAACTTTATTACTATGCCAAAAATGTTTTATGTTTATCACTATTCAAAAATTGTAGTATAGAAGACTGCATGGAGCCTGCAAACGTATAGATCAACTGACAAGCATTAACAGAACAGTTTTAAAAAGGAACCAAAGACTTTACTGCTGAAGGAGCTGAAGAGATTTGTCCTGGGTCACACAATTGGTGCCAGACAAAGATAAACCCCCAAGCTTCTTAACTTGTGTATTTGCGTTCTACCTTTTCCTGTGGATATAGGTTTGAAGTGCGCGTACTTTTGTATTTACGCTACAGGACCCTGCTCAGAAGAGCGTGCTGCTGTGTAAATAAGATTCTAACCTGCACAGCAAGTTTCCCAAGCGGGCTTCTCTATCAGTCAGAGTTTCCTCTTTAGGAACCTGTAACATACGTTATCATCAAGTCCCAGTCCCTTGCCTAACCGCAGGAAATTGAAATTTCTAGAAGGATTTCATTTGTTTTTTATGAGGCTTCTGTTAGCGTGCCAACAAAATCAATAATGTAACATTTAACAAAGGACTACTGTCATAAACTGTATGATATGTATATGACGTTACATTCACAGCTGGAGACTGGCGCGTTAAAGAAAAAAGGTGTGCTTCTTTTTAACAGGCTAGGAAGATGCACATTTAAGGGCTGGTTACTTTACTCTCTTCCTTGTTGATCATTTTAAGATATTCTGTAAAGAACCAGTTTCGTGAAACAAGCAGTAAATACTTTTGAATGGTTATCTCTGGGATTAAATGTTAGCCTCTAAAGGTAGAAGTACCGCAGGCACTGAGCTGGTGCCTTCCAAGCTCTGGGCTAGAAGAATATCTTCCCCACTGCAGTTTTCACCTAAGTGAAACAAATCCCGAGATAACTTTGAACCAGGGATCACATACTGTGACCTGGCAGCTTTCACTTCTTTGTATAATAAGAAATTTCAAACTACAAACTTACTGAAGACACATACAAGAGAAAATAAGGAAAAGCTAAACGAAAGTAGCAAAAATGAAAAGATGTTAGAGTAAAATAAGTAGGGAGAGAGTAAACATTCAATAAAACAACACCAAGAAAATAAGAAGTCTGTCAATCCATTAGTTGTAAACTTAACAATCAAAATCCTCTAATAAGAAACAGAACTTTAAAGAAAGAATTAAACTCATCCAAAGTGGGAAAACAATCTTACCTTACAGTTCATCTTGATGTGAAGCGCTCAGAGAGAAATTGGCAGCTACTGGCAAGACAGCAGAGACTCTGCTCTCTGGAAGTAGATGTGCTGATGGATTTATTGCTGTCTGTTATTTGAGGAAAGTGTGTGTGTGTGTGTGTGTGTGTGTGTGTGTGTGTGTGTGTGTGTTTGCGTGCGCGTGCGCGTGCTTTGTCCACAAAGACTTAATTGGAACCTCCAACAGGTTTCATTTACACCCTTAGCTCCCTGTATCAAAAGCAGACAGGACTGCAGAGGATGGAGGGGGTGGGTTTCCTCCAAAGCAAAGAGGTTGTGCTGGTTTTCATCTGTGCTTATCTGCTCTTTGCTCATTTAACTCTTGCCTGGATCTGAATACAAACCAAAATGCCAGATAGAACCAGGGTGCATCGCCTGATCTTTGCTACTTCAAGATGCCTCCTGTGCTCCAATTCTTTCCTTAAAAGTAATAAATCTTGAAACATTTATGTGAAGAAAAATGACACGCTTACTGCTCTTTTGCCATAAACTCTAACATCTGGGGCCGAGGAGACGACTCAATAAATGATCTGCCACACATGCGTAAAGACCTAAGTTTGATTCCCAGCCCACATTTGCTGTAACGCAGCTCTGGAGGTCACAAGTCCACACAGCCGTGCCTAGGTTCAAATGAAGGTATCAGCGGGTCTTTGTTCCTTCTGTTGACTCTGGGGACAATTCAATTCTTCCAGCTCCTAGAGGCCACCTGCGGATCTTGGCTCCTAGCTTCCACCTTCAAAACCAGCAGCATGTGTCGAATTCTCTCCCTCCTTCACATATAAGAATTTTTGTGGTAACACTGAGCGTGCCCAAATATTTCAAGATTAACTTTCTGTCCCCAGGACCTTAATATAGTCATACCTACAACACCTGTACCTTTTAACATACAGAGAAACAGTCACAGGTTCATGATGTGAGCATCTCTGGGTACCATTGCCCGTTATCACAGGGAGCAAAACAAGTGGGTCTCCCAACATTCCCCTATACCTGTATCTCTAAGGAAAAAAGAGATTATGGCCAAAAGCCAGAGAAGATTTATCAGTAAATATATTTTATAGCTGTGGGCAAAAGACCTTTTAGGAATCCAGTTGTTCCCTGCCAAGGGTAGCTTAGGTTCTCTGAGGGTTTAGGCATCTCCAGCAGACTGCAACTATCTAGTAGAGAACACTCACATGCAGTTGAGGGAAGATAGAACAATCCCAAGTGAAGAAAATCTATACGAAGATACCACCAAAATAAGAGTCTCGCCCACAAAGAGTTTATGAAAATGATGGCTTGGGGAACTGAGGCCTTCAGAGGGAGGTGTGGATGAAGGATGATCACGCTTCACATTCGCAGAAATAATAGTAACAATGGTAACTGCTGTTAAATGCCTAGTCCATTTACAGCATATTGATCATTTGTAGCCATATATTATTTGTAATATATATTATATTTAAAACATGTAGATACATTGTCCAGCTGTGCGGTGCTTATGTTCATAGGCAGGCCAGCTCGGTCTTCCCAGGTACTGATGAGCACAGGAACGAGTGTTCATCTTCCTCTGGTTCATTTTTTCATTTGTGTGTGTGGGGGGGTCCGGATACGTGTGTGCCATAACACATGTGTCAGTGGACAACCTTGACTGTCATTCCTCACCTACTTTGTTGAGACCTTTTTGATTTGTCACTGCGCTCACCGGGCTGGCTAGTCAACAAGAAGGTTCAGTGAATCCAAGCCAAGTCATCAGGCTTGGCAACAAGCACCCTTACCATGGAGCCATTTCATGTGCTCTAGAATAAATCTGTGTCCACATATGTAGACATGGACATACTTTTTAGAAGCTGAAAGCAACCCTGTTGCTCCTTGGTGGATGAATGGATAAGTAAATGTGATAAAAAAAAAAAAACTCGTAATGAGATTTTAGCCCATGTGGATTAATCTTGAGGGTATTATGCTAAAAAAATATGTCATTCACCACAAGTTTATTTCATCTATATGAGGTTACTAAAATAGTGGAATTCATAGAAACAGCAACTGCATTTTTGCTAGGGTCTGGGGGAGGGGAAATGGGAAGTGGTTCTTCACTGAGTACAGAGTTTCAGTTTCATAAGATGAAAAGTCTTTAGAGATTGACTGGTTGAACCAATGTCAATACATATAACACTGAATTTAAATTGGTTAAGATGATAGGTTTTATGTCTTGTTTGAAATAACTAAACTTTTTAAAAACTGTATGTACATCATGGTCATATACAATATATATTTGATTATATAATATATTTTCAAAAATACACACACATACTTTTTAAACTGAGCATAATGACTCACATCTATAATCTCAGCACTCTGGAAGCTAAAGTAAGCTATCTCCACAAGTCCAAAGCTGGACCACACAATGAGTTCTAAGACGACCAAGGGTACAGAGTCAATCCATTTCCAAAAAAACAAACAAGAAGGAAACTACATATTCCAGCTAGTCTCGAACTAGCAATCCTCCTACCTCCTCTTCCCAAGTATATGAATGCACATCTTAATTCTACATATCTTCCACACAATAGGGGAAAAACTAAAGATTAACTAGTAAAAAGCAATAATTCTATCTAGACATGGATATGCCAGTGGCCTCAAAGTCCTCACAAAGTCCTCTGTTTTTAATCAGAGCAAAGTGGAAGTGTGAGGCTCTCCAACCACGGTTCTGTTCTTTCTGGTTTAGATGGCTGGCAAGTGGGACCTTCAGACGGACAGTTTTTTCTCTATGTGCACGTAAGACAATGACTGGAACTGAGGTTTACATGGCCTGCCACAAAGACTATGGATCCTGTGACTCGAATATGAGGAATTCTCATTTCTTTCTGTTTCCTTTAGCTGTTCAAATATTGAACAATCACTTCATAATTCCTCATGTTTAGCAGATGTCAGGGTTACAGGCCCAGACTGCAGAGGCTTGCTTCCCAAATAAAGGACATTGGTTCAGAAGCAATGAGAAGGCTTCTGAAAAAGATCAGGACTACCTAGCGAGGGACTGCAAGTTTCCATGACTGCGGTCTTCGTGACACTGAGGATCTTATGGAATAGAGATGTGTCCAATGGGTAAGGAGTCACCGTGTGTGAACAAAAACAAGTGCTGGATTTAGATCCAGGGAACAAGGCACTTTAAATGCCAAAAACCAAGCCACACATGATAACATACATCCATAATCTCAATACTTGGGAAACTAAGGCAGTTCCAGGAGACCCAAAAATCTCTTCTGGATTCAGGGACAATGCACATGGTATATATACATCAATGCAGGAGGCAAAGCACTC